CCTGATTGTATCATTTCTAAGGTCGAAAGCATTCTTAGCCCTGTGATTCAGTGGAAGAGGTGGGGACAATATGCACCTATTTGGCTCTGTGCTCGGACCCGGGCCCCTGTCGCTTTCTTGCAGGTGACCTCCTGCAGAGATATGAACACTTACGTTCACTCAGAAACCCACACATGATATTTATAATAGCTTTACCCATCACAGCCCCAAACTGGAAACCACCCCAAATGTCTTTCAACAGATGAAAGGCTAGACAAATATGGTATATCCATACAGTGGAATACTACTTAGCAATGAAAACGGAATCGACCATTGGTGCCATAACTCCAGAGGGGGGGAAAGAACACCAAGCCTCAAAGGTTACATACTATATGGTTCCATTTATAAATATTCTTGAAATGATAAAATTGTGGAAACGGAAAACAGATTAGTGGTTGCCAAGGACGTAGGGCTGTGGAAAGAGAAAGGACCCTGTGGCAACGGAATGTTCTGTATCCGACTGTAGCAACATTAGCATCCTGGTTGTGACACTGTGCTACAGATTTGAACAATGTTACCATTGCGGGAAACTGGGTCAAGGGCATGGGCTCTCTCTCTGTGTTGTCTCCTACAACTGCATGGGAACCTACCATTTTCTAAAAATAAAATAAACACTTTAAGAAATGAGACAGTGATTCTTAGCCTTTTGGAAGGTCGAGAGGGTGGGCAGTTAAAAAGACCAGGCCAGGGAGGTCCAGATTTCTGGAAGAATCTAATAGAAACTATGAAGCATCACCTGAGAAAACTTCCCTGCGTCCCCTCCCTGGAGCCCGAGGACTCCATTGAGGAACACGACCCACACACAGTTGTATTCCCTGGGATCCGGGCATGGACAGAGGCTTAGAACACTAGTGAAATAAAGACAGTCCCCGCCTGCTCTGCAAAATTCAGCTCCCTGATCCTCATCCAAAATGTAGCCATCTGCATTCTAGAAAGGAGCTATTTTGACTCCGACGCCCACATATTTCTGTGGCATTTCTAAACTCACAATTTCGTATTGAAATTCTCCAAAACAGGGGCTGGCAGGAGGGAGGCATCAGCATCTCATCCCGGCTTAGAATCTCCAAAGCTTTGTTTCCACCCAACTGGAATCAAATTCCTAGAGTAAGAAAATGAAATGTGCCTTTCCTCCTTCCACGAACACGGGCCAGGGAGACGTCTGCGGATACCCTTCACTTGACTCTTCGCCCTGTAACTGAGACGAATCCACCCCAAACTATAGCGAACAATACAAGTCCCAACCAGGCTGCTAACTCCTTGAGGATGTTGGCTGTGCCCGTTTTGTGTGAGGCAGCTTATCCTGGGCTTAACGCTAGTAGGCACTCAATAAGTAGTTGATGAATGATAAAATGAAAGCAAATAGGTCCCAAATGTAAACTAAATTCTTAAAATACCAAAGATAATGATTCCCCGACAAAAGCTACCAAAAACTGTTTAAAAACAAATATTTCGCCCTGGCCAGTTTGAGTCAGCGGTTAGAGCGTCGGCCCACGGACCAGTGAGTCACCAGTTCAATTCTGGTCAAGGGCACGTACCTTGGTTGTGGTTTGTCCCAGGCCCTGGTCAGATCCTGCGGGAGGCAACCAGTCCATGTGCCTCTCTCCCGTTGGTGTTTCTTCCTCCCTCCCTCCCTCCCTCTCTATCTGAAGCTAAATGGAAAAATATCCTCGGGGGAAGATAAACAAAATCAATAAATAAAACGATGTGCAAATTGTCTGATCCACCACTCATCCAAGGATGTATTTTTAGGGCCTTTCATGGATTAGCCAAATAATTGTAGACAGCTGCTCCCCTTCCCACCCCACAGCCCCCCAAATAGTAACAGGGACATTCCTGAGCAAATACTGTACCAGGGCACCGCCCGAGACCTCCATGAGCCAACGGAGAATACGCTGGAGAATGAAGATGTGAAGATGGTGAGACTTTTGAGCTCGAGGAGTTGAATTTCATTAAGCTTGTCTACGTTTCAAGAAAAAAAGTCAATACCTATTGGATTATTTGATCACTTCAACTATCTAGGATCTCAATTAAAGATGAGCACTTATCCTCCTCCCATTTGAATGGGGATGGTCTTAGAATGTTTCCTGTCCCATTTTTTTTTAAAAAAAGGACTTAAACCTATACAAAAAGCTGCATCTAATGAGAATGTCTCCAGCTGCATAAATGTTAATGCCTTTGGACGCCTGAAAATATGAACATAACGAGATCAATAGTCCCTCTCTCCGTCCACTGGCTCTAACTCCCTTTGATTATACTAAAGAAATAATACGCTCAGAATCAATGCAGTACACGGCCACTGCGCTTGCACAGGTGTATCTGATTTAACGCCCCCAACATGATGCTCACTGCATAGATCTGAAAACTGCGGCCACGAAAGGCCAGGGCTCATGGAGCTAATGAGTCGCAGAAGCAGAATCCGCTCTCTTCTCTTTCTCCCAGTCTGAGGGAACGTTTCTTGGCACGGCAGCTGCTTACCATGAAATGTTGTTTTCTTGTTTAATTATAAACACCCCTCCCCCCACCAAAACATGGTTCCAATCCACAGACACTTGTCTGGATGCCATTAATAAAACCACGGTGTCAGACTAGTTCCTAAAGAGGCTGATGAACTGCGGTCACCCACTCGCTCTGGAAGGCAATGCCCAGTTCCACGGGCGCTGAGGGGGTGCCCTCTCGGCACGTGTACCTGTTGCAGGCTGCCTGCAGCCCAGAGGAAAACCATCACCCGTCTCGCTCTGGACAGAGCTTCTCTGTGCTGTGTCCCTGGAGCGTTGCTCACCGACGCTTGCAGCCTCCATTCAAAACTCTAGTTTGCACTGTTTTCTGACAACTGTGTACTCAGCCTCCTTGGTTTATGTAAATAAATTACATCATGAGAACACTTTTTAAAAATTAACTGGAAAAAAAAAACACCAATGTTAACAAAGAAAACCAGATTTCTTTGATTACAGTTTTGACCTTTTCTCTCTATGAGCCATAACCATCCTTCAACAGATGCTCTAAAATCGATGTGTTAACACGACGGAATGGATAAATCCTGAGAAAGTATACTGCTCACTGGCAGCCAAAATACTGTAAAATATACAGTGAATGCAAACTATAGTTCCTTTCCTACTGCTCCAAATATCTGTCCATAAACATTGGCGCACGCATAGGACTATACTGTGTCAGTCGTACTAATATAGAAAAATAATCTCAATTACCATAAGCTAGAAAGTTACGGTAACTAGTCTTGCAAATAAATCACCGTGTGTCACAATTTGGCATACATTCCGATCCCTATGAATAATTCACATTTTGCACATTAATAATGCATGTCCTCTTTCTATTGGAATGCTCCCTAATATGAAATGGAAGTCTCCTAACAATTTCCTCAATTGACATGATGGAGTAAGTATAAAATTAGAATGGCGGTTTTTTTTCAATGCTGCCTTTTCTATTGTAACACTCTGGCTCGCCCAGAAGGTCATCAAGAATGCAGATTTCCTAGTATTTCTTGCTCTTTGCATGACAGTCACTTGGTCAGGTACCCTAACAACAGTTGCTCCTGCAGAGGAGAATATTTGCATAGCAAACACAGAAATCAAGGAAACTTGGGCAGGGCTGATAGGAATTGATTAGTTCTGCAACATTTCTCCCTAATTATCTAGTCACAATAACGCAGGACATAATTGCTAAAACAGGGTGACAAGCAGAGAAATCGAGAGAGAAAGGAAGGAGGAGGTAGGCAGAGGAGGTGGAGAGAGAGAGGGAGAGAGAGAAGGAGGGAGGGACCCAAACAAACCAGGCAAGAGTTTTTCATAATCACAGATGTTTCCCATCCCCAGGTTTTCCTTCCAAGCTGTTTACCACGGTAAAATTTCCTTTCAATTTTCAGTAAAATTATCTGGCACAGAAAGAATGTCCAAAGACCAAATAAGAGGAAGGTGCCCACGACATATATTTATAGAGAAAGGCATCACTACAACTCTCTTCCCAGGGGGGCCGTTCCACATCACGGGGGACATTAATTATGATTTCAGACGTTACTAAAGTAAACTTTCCTCCCCCGCCTCTCCCGAAGGCAATAAACATGGGCAGCACCACCACCTGACCCCGGGCACAGAGACATGAGGCCGTGTGAAATGCGAAGAAAAACCCTTCCAGGGTGCTCCCCCTCCCTCAAGAATTCCGTTACTGTCTGAGAAGCAGACCGAGTTCTCTCTGACATCCCATCAACGAAGAGAAAAGGGGGAGGAGAAGGAGTTTTGAGAGAGGAGCCATCACTGGGCCGCCATCTGTACCCTCGGATTCATTCATTCTTTCCTTTCCCACCAATGTAGGGAACCCTGCTCTGTGCCAGGGAGTAGGTCCACCAGCAGACACCCACCACCCAGGCTAAGGATGGGGGGAAATTCACACTGGGACATCTACCCCAAGCCGGCCTGGCCAGCGGCCACCCACGCCGCCTTTGCCAACACCTGGGACAGAGGTGGGTCACTGTCCAGGACCCGGAGTCCAAAGAGACCTTTCCCTCGGCAGGGGTCTCCCTGGGGTCAGAGGGTCGCTGACCTTGCTCACACCGAGGGCGTCTGCCCTGTTTCTCTGCCCGTGACCCACCCCCTGGAAAGTTAAGTTGGCAGCGAGCAGGGAGAGGGGCACCGCGGGCATCCGGCAGGCTGGGCGCCCGCCGGGTCCTCAGCTCCGACTCCCATAGCTACGGAGAAATATTTATTTCGAGTCGACGGGCTCCAGTGGCTACTGAAGCCGAGCACGCGGCCACCAGCAGACAGCCAAGTCATCGAGAGATAAAGATAGGTCCGTGACACACGAGACCGCCTGACAGCGGCAGCGCGAGGTGTGGACTCGGGGGGCGAGAGCCGCGCGTTCGCCGGGCGCGGGCCGGGCACCTCCTTCCTGCCTCCGGGGATGCTGGCTCCGGAGAAAGACAGATGAACCGGGGGAAAGGGACTGCTACTCACCCCGAGGCGTCTGCTCCGGATCCTCACGTACCCCTGCTTCACTATGTCATTAAAATTGGAAGCCATCCCGGACAGCCGGTGACCCCGCACCCGCGCGCGCGCACCCCGGTGGCTTCGGGGAGGGCGGAGGGCAGGGTCGGCGGAGGCGTGGGGGCGGGGGCAAAGTTGGAGAGGGGAGGCTGCCCGGCTGCGGCTCCGCGTGGCTCTAGAAGGCGCACATCACTTGTCCCCCCAACGCTGAAAGTGGGCGGCCGGCTTGCAGCCACTTTGGGGGAGCGCGGAGCGGGGCGGCGGGGCGAGGTGGAGCGCCCGCGTCAGCTGACTCATCGGCCAGCCCGCCAGGAGGAGGAGCGGCGGCTGCTCGGGGATCCAGCCCAGCCTCCTGGCGGCCAGGAGGAGGAGGCGGTGGAGGAGGTAGAGGAGGAGGAAGACGGTGGGGGTCGAAGAGGAGGAGCCGCGCGGGTCCCTGCGCTCGGCACTGGCCACCCGCAGGCCGACACACTTGAAAGCGCCCTCCCGGCCCCGCCCACCTGGCCAGGCCCGAGTCCCTCCAGCGACCGCTCCCCTCCTCCCGGAAGACCCCCGCCCGCCCCCGCCCGCGGAGACTAAGCCGGCTCTCTTCGCTCCGTGGCTTATTTTAGGAAGAGAGGAAATTTCACTTTTCCCAGCCCCTGCCTACCCGCCTCTCCCTTCAGCTCCATCTCTTGCCTGAGAAGGGCCTATTGTTACCGCCGGTGTGTGTATCTGGGGAGGGGGTGTTGCCATGGTTTGCCTTGACCTTGGGTACCAGGGCAGGGATATTGCTGGGGCTTTGCTCTCCTGCTCTCCTCGCATCCTGGCCCCAGCCCTTGGTGGTAACATTTGCCACATTTTTATTGTTTGAGCCTGTCTTTCCCACCCGATTATAAGTTTCCCAGGGGCTAAGACTCGGTTTGACCGGTAGCCCCAAGGGCTGGTCCAGAGCAGGTGCTCAATAAATCCTTAGCACACCGTTCTAAGCCCTTTACACTCCCTGCACCTTTGGAGGTACCCCCCCCCATATTTACCCCCTGGAGAGCCTGGCAACAGCCTCCTCTCATCACCTGGATGAGTTACCCCCTAGAAGAAACGTAAAGGGGAGCCCGATTTGGCATCACCTGACTACTCACTTCCTGAAGCAGCTGGAGTTGATAACTGCTGACATTTACGGGACACCAGGGTGCTGGACAGGGTGCTAATCCTGATAAAATGATGAGGTAGATCTAGTAGCCACGTTGTATGGAAACTTGAAGCTCAGAAGAATGAAAAGACTTGCTCCAGGTCCCAGAGGGCTAGGGTCGAAAGTCCAGCTAGTCAACACTGTCCCATACCCCTTCGAAAGAGCAGACATCATGGGGGAAGGACAGTACTAGTTGGTGTCCAGGGAACATCTTTCTCCTCATTTAGACCATCCACAAAGGCAAATACAGCATCGGGAATCTGACTCCCAGCCAGTGTGGGAGCGTCGACCCCTGCACCAAGAGATCACCTGATCGATTCCCAGTCAGGGCACATGCCCAGGTGGTGGGCCTGATCCCCGGTGGGGGGCATGCAGGAGGCGGCCAATTGGTGTTCTTTCTCATCAATGTTTCCATCTCTCTCTCCCTCTCACTTCTCTCTCTCAAATGTCCAGCCCATGTGGCTCAGTGGTTGAGCATCGACCCATGCAGCAAAAGGTCGCTGGTTCAATTACCGGTCAGGGCACATGCCCGGGTTGTGGGCCAGATTCCCAGTGGGGGGCATGTAGGAGGTGGCCAGTCAATGTTCTCTCTCATCAATGTTTCCATCTCTCTCTCCCTTTCACTTCCTCTCTCTTTAAAATCAATAAAGGAAAAAATAAATAAATAAATAAAATCAATATAGAAAGAAAAAAATTAAAAAGAAATCTGACAATTCTCATTCCCTGGAAGTAACCAAACCAAGGCTGGGTGACCTTCAGCCAGAGTTCTTGAGAAGAAAATTCATTTGTGTAGTGGACTTTGACCTCCTGACGTCTGAAGGCCTTTCAACTCGAAGATGATATGAGTCTTTCTTCTCTCGCTGAGTACACTAGCATTCAGGTGCCTTGGTTTGATGGGTGTCAGTTAAAGAAGAGAAAAACCCAAAAATGTGTCACAAGAGAACTGAGACTAAGTTGGGACCAGCCACCACAATATTCTGGCCCTAGAGCAAACCAGCAGCTTCTTCACCACGGTGCTGTTCGGGGCAAATGATGGTCTAAGTTTAACCCTCTCACCAAAAGAGGAGGAAATGATAAACGTCATGGACAGAATCCTTTTTGTAGAACTTAAAAAAAAAATCCTGTCCCTGGCGGCCTCGTAACAGACCTGTTTGTGGAAGGCATTTGCCTAACTCGCGATCTGTAGTCTGAACCCGGAATCGTAGACGGAGCGAGGGCGTTTCGGCAGGAAGAGCTTGCAACCACGGCTCGAGAGAACAAATCACTGCTGACAAAAACCGAGACAGACAAATCTGGCCCTCGGTAGTTAATGCTGAGTATAATCAACATCCATAAATAATTAAGGTAGAAGTGAGGACATTGGAATCAGACTAGAAGATATCAAACTAGATGTGAAGAGACAGGGATTTTTTTTTTTTTTTAATTGCAAAATTGAATTCAGTAGATGGTTTTAATTTGTTTGTTTCTGGTGAAGTCAAACTGATCTGCATGCAAGACACACCGACAGTGCTTGACCACTCCTGGGATGGACAGCCAGCGACACTTTCCAAAATGTGCAGGCCATGCCACGGCAGGAGGGGAGGGGACCGTTCACAGAGACGCACCGGGAAAGTAGGGCTCATGGACCTGCCCGACCACAGCTCACACCGCCAACCAGACAGGCAGCCGTTCTGTTTCTCTGGAGATAAATGAGACATACAAAACATCCTGATTTAAAACATCATAATTTCAATCCCCACTCTTTTTCTTTTTAATCCTCACCCGAGGATATTTTCCCATTTATCTTCAGACAGAGTGGGAGGGGGAGACAGAGGGAGAGAGAGAGAAACATCGATGTGAGAGAGATGCATCGATTGGCTGCCTCCCGCACGACCCTGACCAGGGCCGGGGATGAACCGCAACCCAGGGACGTGCCCTTGGCCGGAATCGAAACCGCGACTCTTTTGGTTTTCGAGCAGACACTCTAACCACTGAGCAAACCAGCCAGGGCTCAATCCCCATTCTTCACTCAACTTATAAGACTTAGAACTTATTTTGGTATCCATTTCTGTTTGCATCAACATCCAGACTCCCCTCTGTCAACAGCGGTCACCACTTTGCTTTGTTACCCTCTGCACCAGGACAGGTGCGCAGCCATGTACATGGCCTTTCTCCAGACATACCGCTGGGTCCAGACAGGACACGTGACCCAAGCTGGTGGACAGAGTAATTGGCAGTACTTTCACCGAGCCCTGGGGCGCTCACACTGGGTACAGCTGAGATGTGGTCTAGAGGGACCCCAGGAGCTGCGAGAGTGGAGGCCACAGCCCAGCAGAAACGAGATCAAGACAAGCAAACCAAATCCCGACGACCCTGTTCGAACCCCCTTACCCTGCACCCCACGAACCTATTACATTATTTAAGCACAGGTGAGGCTGGTATAACAGTTGGACCCCAAAATGCAATGGCTTATGTTGGATATGAGTTTCTTTATGTCTCGTGAAGCCGTCCGCAGGAGACAGGAGACAGGAGCTGTCTCCAGCTGGTGGGCCTGGTCACAGCCCCTTCTCAAGAAGGGGGAAGAGAGCACACAGGGAACACAGCATCCAAGTAAAAACAGCCCCCCGACCTTTCGAACCCTATTCGTCCCGAATGCCACTAATACACTGTTGCGTGGCCACACCTGTGTCCCAGGGAGAGCGGGGGAGGGCGTCACCACTCTGGCGTGGCTGCTGTCTGACGGAACAAAACTGGTACAGGGAAGGTCAGTTAGCACTTCTACCTCCCAGCACCATTCTTAGACGATTTAACTACACACACTAAAACAAAACAAAACAAAACAAAACAACCCTTTTTTGCTTAAACCAGCTCAGACTGAGGTATTCCTTTCATTGCGACCAAGAGTCCTGTCGAAGTCACCATTGATCTGTGGTCTGAAGCCTCAGGCATCTTGGCTACACTCACACAGGTACACCTATACGCCCAGATTACCTGAGAAAATTTCAAAATGTCTGTGGCCTTTTCCCATAAAACTATAGGCGACAGAGGAGAAAGTGACCTCAGCCACTGGTCCAGTCCCGTCATGTGGGATTTACTGCTCTTCTAACTGGGTGGGGATGGGCCACCACCTGGCCCACTACAGGGCTGCACACCTGAGCAAGTCTGGCCAATCAGCACACGCCACCCCATGGCGCTGGGATGGACACGTGACGTAGGAGAGCCAATCAGATCCTCCCCAGGGCTGAGCCGATGAAAACCCTGAATACGCAGCCTGTGGCCACCTTGTTCCCGGGACGAGGGCCCCGCTGAGAACTGAGCCAAGAAAGGAGAACGTGGAGCTGGAGCTGGAGCTAGAAATACCACCATCCCTGCAGCCAGAACTACCTCTTGCGCTTCTCAGTGACACACCGATTTGTCTTCGTTGTCTTGTTTATTGGAGCCCGTTTCACTGGGGTTGTAGAGCGCACTCCCCAGGTGGACGAGGGCGAGACGAGGGAGGCGCGTGGGTGCACAGCAGAAGGCGGCGCCCACTCGGGGCTGCGTGAGTGCCCAGCCTCCATCCTCAGGACCCTGACCTGATGCTGCTTTTTATTTTAATCCTCACCCCAGGACAGGCTGACATGCCTAGAGAGGAAGGCGGGTGGGGGGGTGAGAGAGAGAGAAACATTGACGTGAGAGAGAAACATTAGTTGCCTTTTGTACATGCACCAATCAAGGATCGAACCCACAACCCAAGCATGTGCCCTGACGGGGAATCGAACTGGCAACATGTCGACGCACAGGACAGAGGCACCCAACCAAGCCGCTCCGGCCACATGAGTGCTTCTCACACTGTGCACCCTACAAACCTCGCCCAGTCCCGACCCTGCCACCACCGGTCTCAGTCACCCGGGACCGCTGTAACAAAACGCCACAGAGGTTTCTGCCTCACAGTTCCGGACGCTGAGAAGTCCAAGGTCAAGTCGCCAGCAGCTTCCTCCTCCTCGTTTGCAGACAGCCACCTGCTTGTGCACACACAGGGAGGGGGCAGGGCTCTGATCCCTCTTCCTCTTCTTAGAAGAGCACTAATCGCATCACGAGGAGCCCCCCACGACCTCCTCTCATAATGTCACACCTTCCAACGGCTCCACCTCCAACTGTCATCACCTCAGTGGTCAGAGCTTCAACATATTTATGTCGGAGACAACAAGCATTCGGTCCCTAATGCTGCCCTTACTAAAAACAT